TCCTCACCTAAGCTATCATAACTACCTCCTAACTAGTCTCTCAAATGTTGACTCTCCTTCTAGTTCTATACATCCTTGTAGCAGACACAGGTACTTCACACAAATCCTTTCCTTTAAGGAGAGCCTCTGGTCCTCAGACATACAAGAAACCCAAGCCTGACCAGAGTACTACTCACCCCTACCAACATGTCTAGTCCAGGAAAGAGCACATGACTGAAACTAGACAATGTCTTCCTTAGGACTTCACTTTCCTGCCAAGGCTATCAGGGAAAAATACTCTCCTTTCTTTTGGGATTATGAGGACACAATCCCAGTAAGCAAAAACTGCTCATAGGAGGAATGAAAGAATGGGGGAGGATGGGAAACCCACTGTCACCAAGTCCTGGATCTAGCTCTGCTTGCCTGGCCAGTAGAAATACTTTTGCATTTAAGCCAATTTGAGTTGGATTTCTGTCATTTGTAACCAAAAGTCCTGATTAACAATTCTCTATACCGCCAGTTACTTTTCTAAATCATAGATAAAATGTTGTCTACTTTTATTTAGTCAACTAAATTTTGTTTGAGTATGCTATACTAAAGACTTCTACCACCCTGCCTTTAACTTTCACATATACCAATGTGCCTGTTGCAATTCAAATATAGCATGCCACTTTATGCAGCTATGCCCTTGCATATGATGCTTCCTCTGCCTAGCACATCCCCCTCCCACCTCCTCATCCACAAAATGTATAGTAGGTTTGCATAAAATAAGGTGGAAAATTAGACAGCAGCAAGATCATGAAGGGTGTTGAATGACACAAAGTAAATACACTTTAACCTATAGAATTTCAAGCCAAAAAGTTATAAAATAAGACTTGTATCTTAAAGAACTCACTGTGGATACAGTGTCAGGATTATCTAAAAATAAGGTGATACTAAAGGCAGAGAAAACAGTTAGTAGGCTATCACAATTAGTTTAAACCAGAGGCCATGTAGGATGGTTAAACAGTAAACTGGGACAACTTCTCTGGGAGAAAAGAAAAACCTGCCAACAGCTATCAATATCATCGATAAGTCTTTCAAACTTTAAGCTAGCATTTCTGCTTGCAGGAATTGAGACATAAGAAAATAATATGAGGCCTATAAAAATTTACATATCAAGATTTCAGTGAAGCATTATTTGCAACAAAAGATTGAAAATTTAAATGTTGAACAATAAAATGATTTAAAATATATATATCACACAGTGAAACTAATATTTAAAAATAAAATCTTTAAAGAATTACTAAAACATGGGATATACTAAAAAATGTTATATGGAATACAACACTGCAGTATATACAAAATAATTTTAATTATGTTAAATTGAAGAGGTTTTTTTTTTTTTCATTTTTAGCATCAACACTAGATGAGTTAGGTCAGTGGCAGGATTATGAGTAACTTGTTCTCTCCATTTTTTTTTTTTTCCCTAAGTAACATTGTCCTTAGTCATGATCCTTATTTACTAAAGAAAATCACTTTATAGGTAAGAAAAATAAGGCCTAGAGCGGTCACATGACAAAGTTCACATTCTAAGAGTTAAGATTAAAACTTGAACACTGCCTATGTGAAGACTCACCGCCAAGAAGCAAACCTGCACAGCCAAAGTCATTTACCCCATAACTCCCGTGAGCCTGAGCCTCAAAGGCAAACCAAACCTACTGAGTGACTTTAAACTTGCTGAGCTACAATCCCCTCTAAATTCATAACTCGAAAGCTATAAAATAGCAAATGAGCAGACTACAGAAAAGGGTAGTTTAAGATGCTTGTTTTTATGACTTTATTTTTACCTAAATAGCCCTACAAAGAACAGAAAAGGAAATAATAGCACACCAGACTGGAGAAACAAGGTCTCAGAGTAAGTTGTTAAGGGACACTGTTATTCAGAGTCTGTTTTATTTTGATCTTTAAAAGAATAAGAGAATGCTTTATTAGATGAGATTATTTCCCTGAATTAAGACTTCCATAATCTGTTACAATCACAAATAAACTCTATAGACTTAAGTACTCAACTCATTTAAGTAGGGTCCCTAACAAAAAGTCATTTGGTAGCTTAAAAAGTAGAATTTGAAAATAGTATTTGTGAAATAAAAGGGCTTCAGTGAAAGGAGTTTGAACAGCTAACTAGATAGGAGAAAAAACAAAATAATTACCAGGGACAATTTTTCTGTATTTTGAGATAGTCTTGCTCTGTTACCCAGGTTGGAGTGCAGTGGCACAATCTCAGCTCACTGCCACCTTCGCCTCCTGGGTTCAAGCAACTCTCCTGCCTCAGCCTCCCAAGTAGCTGAGACTATAGGCGCACGCCACCACGCCCAGCTAATTTCTGTATTTTTGGTAAAGACAGGGTTTCACCATGTTGGCCAGGATGGTCTTGATCTCTTGACCTCATGATCTGCCCACCTCAGCCTACCAAAGTGCTGGGATTACAGGCATGAGCCACTGCGCCTGGCCAGGGACAATTTTTTTAAAACCTCTATTTCAACCTTATAAATTAAGAAACTGTGGTTTTCTATAGATGCCATGTAAATGATAGTACCACCTAAAAAATTAATACATTTAAAATGTTTCTAAGCCAGGTACAGTGGCTCATGCCTGTAATCCCAGCACTTTGGGAGGTCGAGGTGGGTGGATAACTTCAGGTCAGGAGTTCAAGACCAGTCTGGCCAACACAGCAAAACCCCATCTTTACTAAAAATAGAAAAATTAGCCAGGCGTGGTTGTGAGCACCTACAGTCCCAGCTGCTCAGAAGGCTGAGGTGGGAGAATCGCTTGAACCCAGGAGGCTGAGGTTGCAGTGAGCTGAGATTGTGCCACTGCACTACAGCCTGGGCAACAAAGTGAGACTCTGGCAAAACAAAAACAAAAACAAAAACAAAACAACAATAAAATGTTTCTAAGGTGATAAGCAAAGATGGCATCATAGAGCTGGGCACAGTGGTGTACACCTATAGTCCCAGCTACTCAGGAGGCTGATATGGGAAACTATACCACTATCTTAATTTCATTGTTTTTTAAATGAATTTTCAAATGGTGCCCTTATGTAGAGTTAGAAAGGGTTTGCAGTAACCAATGCAAAAGCACCATCCAGTGGTAAAAGATGATAATTACAATTTATACAGTTATTAAAAGCCATATTAGCTAAATGATTTGTGACTCTGCCTTTTCTCCCACACACATTCCAGGAAAGAAAAGGTAAACTGGCTATATAATATTGAGGGTATCTCCTATTTGTTGCCATTTTCTTAATCAAACCTTACTATATTAAGTTGGCATTTTGTTGTTGTTTTTCTGTCTTGCCTACCAATTATCCAAATGCTTGGCTGGGAACAGAATTAGGAGAGGGGCATTGTTAAAATTCATCCAAAGCCTTTATTAAGTCACAGGCTAGAAAATGGTTTATAAAAGTGTGTGAGGGGGTGAATTTCCAGTGGAACTCTAGCTACCAACAACCATTCCACAGAACAACAAATAAGTCATTCTATGTACTTTTTTAAAAGGTGATCACTGGTAGGTAATCTAGACCTTCCTGAAAAGGGCCAGGTAAAGATTCACAATCAGATATTTCATAAAGAATTCAGAATTTCTAAAGGGAACATGAATCTTGAACGTGACCATATTTACCTCCAATTTGAAGGAAAAAAAATCAGGTAAACAGTGTGTTCCCAATAAATCTACTCCTATCCTATCAGAAAACAGATGAATAAAATCTTCAGTTTCCAACATAACAGCTTTTTAATCACCTTTTTTTTTTTTTTTAATTACAAAGTTTAATATAATTTTGGGAGGCTGAGATGAGCAGTTCACTTTTGAGCCCAGGGGTTCAAGACCAGTCTGGGCAACATGCTGAAACCCCACCTCTACTAAAACTACAAAAATTAATCAGGCATGGTGGCATGCACCTGTAGTCCCAGCTACTCAAGAGGCTGAGGTGAGAGGATCCCTTGAGCCCGGCAGGTTGAGCCTGCAGTCAGCCCTTATCACACGCCACTGCACTCCAGTCTGGGCAACAGTGAGACCTCGTTGCAAAGGAAAAAACAAAAAACAACACCCCAAAACTTTAATAAAACTAAAAACAAATTATTACAGAAACCCAGTAAGGGTGAGTCTTTGTTCCGAAACAACTTTACATCAAGTCTACTTGATATCAAATGGTATTACTGCTTGGGATCATAAGATATTTAACAAAAAGTGCAGCATGTTGCACCTTGGTAATGGCAAAAAAATCAATTACTGGGCCATAATTTTCTCCTTTTATACTCTAAAAAATATTTCAATATGTTTGAATCTGAAATAAGAAGCCTAACAAATACCACCAATGATACCAAACAAGCTTATCCTATCTTCACTAGTGCCTGCAGTCCAACACACCTGGAGGTTATGAGATTTTTTAAAAACTACTTTCATGAAAACATAGGAGTCACTCAAATAATTGAGGTTCCCCAGTGATTACTGAATGGCTGTTAATGTTTAAAGTGTGCACCACAATCATTTAACATGTAACAGAATGAGCTATGAGCAAAAGGATGCATACATCTAAACCAAAGGTAATTCAGTAATAAATTACTAAAGGTTTCAAACCTTTGGTTTGAATTTTAGTAATAAATTGTATTTACTAATACATTTATTAATATTTAGTAATATATTACTAAATTGAATTTTAGTAATTTATTATTATTTCAGGACAAAATAAAACTAGTTGCAATACCATTATTTTCAGCTGTTTAATATTTTCTTTTGCATGACAGAGATCTTAGATTTATAAGCCCCCTCCACTGAAAATTCATTTGAATTATAAAACTGCTATACTAAGTCTTCCACTAACACAGGGCCCACCACTTTAAATGTTTCTACAACAACGGACTTTACTCATATACAGTTATGTATGAACGCTAAGTTACAAGGAGGCTTAAACAGCAACAAACTAAAAAATTACAAGAGCTGCCTATATTACTGCAAGAGACTACTAGAAAATAACCTACCATAATAGGAATTCCCATACTATTTTCCTCTGGTGGAGGCAGTTGTACTGTTTCAATTCCAATCACAGGCCTGTAGCAGAAAACAGATATCAAAAGAAAGAATATGCTGATCCTAGAAATTAAGGGCTATGTTATAAATAAGTAGTACCTTAACAAAACATTGAATTATTGCATAATATTCAAAAACTTACTTTAGATTTTATTAATTCAGAATTTACTTTTATCCTTCTATCAAGAAAAAAATACTAATCTGTGTAACAAAACATTTTTTAAAGGCTTTCTTTATATATTAAACAGAATTGGCTTCCCAGAAGAGACTTAAAAAGTGGTGTTTGATTCTTAGAATTGCTAGCAGCAACAAGTCATCCTCATAAGTCTTAAACACACACACACACACACACACACACACACACACACAAACTTTTCAAATATATTCACTAATAATATTTTCAGTTACTTACTAATCAGTTATTATGTACCCATGGGGATGTCTTGATTTAAGAAACAGCCTATGAAAAGTTTAAAGTATTCAATCTATACACTTTCTGAATATGTAAAACATACTCATTTTAGTAATACATAAATTTAAGAAATCCACTGTAATATCTCTCAAAGAAAACTGGTAATTATATATATTATATATAAAAAGTATATATATATATAGTTTTTTAAAGGTTAGAATAATATATACATATTATTTAGTAACTGGCTTCTCTCCATCACTCCTCACTTACCAATGTGGACCTTAAATATTCTGCAACACCGTGAATATGACATTCCATTCAAAAATACTATATTTAATTTCCTAAGAGTAAATATTTGGGTTGCTTCTATTTTTAAATTCTTACATAATGATTTTTCTCAGAATATTACATATTCTTATATAATACTTTTCCCAAGATAAAAAATAAAATTCCACAAGTTAATTTTAGTGAAATGGCTTGTCTTTACATAAATAAAATTAGGCTTAAAAAATTATGGAGCCATAATTCTCATGTGCAATGACCTAGAAAGAAGAAATGTCAGAATTACATTCCCTACATAAAAGTGTGGGGCCAACCACATTTCTTTTGTTTTCTTTTCTTTTCTTTTGAGACAAAATCTTGCCCTGTCACCCAGGCTGGAGTGCAGTGGTGCAAAATGTAGTTTCAATCTCCTGGGTTCAAGTGATCCTCCCACCTCAGCCTCCTGAGTAGCTGTGACCACAGGCGTGCATCACCTTGCCCAGTTCATTTTTAAATTTTTTTTGTAGAGATGGGGTCTCATTATGTTGCCCACGCTGGTTCCAAACTCCTCGGCTCAAGCGATCCTCCTGCCTTGGCCTCCCAAAGTGCTGAGCCACTGCACCCACCCACACATTTCTTATTGTTCTGAAAGAATCGTCATCAATGCTATGACAAAGAATCATCTTTGCTATAGTAATTACAGTTGTAGTAATTAACACCTTCTAAAATGTTAGAAGACATAAACTATCCTTGGATAGTTGGAGGAAGGTTAGCTATAATTCTAAACATAAAAATCTGTTATTTCTTCTCTTGTCAAAATTACTTAAGAACAAATCAACCTCATCAGAAAATATTAAAGGTACATTATTTTAGGTTCTACAGTATGTAACAGATAAGGTAATAGAATTAGTTTGCCATATGGTGGCAGTAAATATTAAAGAAAATTAATGTCTTGAGTACGTTCATTTATAAAGTTAATGTCTTCCCTGAGTCATGTATTTTAAACAAAGATTTCAAAAAGAGGAGGCTTTACAGGTTTTCATAATTATGTTTTAATCTTGTTATATTAATAGTCAAGCTCAAAACAATATCAAGAGTGTATTTCTGACTGATTGAAAATAGCCTTCTGTTACTATAGCATTTAGCAAAACTGCCTCAAAAACTATATGGCTCTTGATGCTTATAAGGCAACATGTAATTGCAATGATTTTCATTGTATTAACTAAAATTTACGTATCTTATAAAAAAATAAATTTTCTTACTTTAACCAAATCCACCTAGCCTAGCCTCCTACCTCCACAAATATTTACTCAATAATTGTTTGTTAATGACTACTTATATGCTAAATGCAAGGAATACAGCAGTAAACACAAGAATAGTTTCTGGTTTCATGAAACTTACACAAAATCTCTCATGTATTTCCTTTTCCCTGATTTGTAATATGGGATCATTAAGATCAGCTTAAGTTAACAGCCTAAGGATAAAAAATACTACAGTGTCTCTTCACCTATAATTTACAATTAAAAAAACACTACACAGAAAAATTCAAGTAAGAAAGTTTTTCCTGCTACGACTATGACTGCTTTAAAGTCGTTCTGTTCTATAGAAATAAAGTTATTTCAAAGGGAAAAATGTTTGATGCCCTTTATTTACTACACTAACCCACTAGATGCTAAGTAACAAATGTTTAAGTTACATGAAACAACTGAAAAATGTATAAGAGCATCTTTTCATACAAAATTATCAAAGTATGTCAATCTTCTCAATTTGTTTATAGAAGTTATTGCCAAAGTTGTCTTATAATCCAAGACACTGAGAGATAAGAAGCTACGATGAAGAGTAGATCCAAACTGAGAGTAAATATGTGCATAGATTGTGCACAGTTTAATCATAGAGTTAAAACACATCTGAAAACCCTTCTCTCTATTAAGAAAGAGGAGGGAAGTGGGCACAGTGGCTCTTGCCTGTAATCCTAGCACTCTGGGAGGCCGAAGTGAGAGGATCACTTGAGCTCAGGAGTTCGAGACCAGCCTGGACAACAGAGCAAAACTCTGTCTCTATAAGAAAACAAAACTAAAACCAAACAAAACCAAAACAAAAGCACACATCTGAATATTGTAAAGGCCCAGTCTTCCACAGAGTGAGCATCCTTTAAGGTAGGGGCTGTGTCTCACTCATTTCATCAGTATGTCCACCTCTATGGTTTTCCTTAATATATAACAGTGATGAACAATTTCTCATGCACAAACATTTCACATACTGATGATTTTATCTTGTCAGCAGAAGTACTATGGGTTTTCTTTTTTTCCTTTTTTGTTTTTGTCCCAACTAGATACAAAATTTCATAGGTTATAAACCAACATTAGCAATTTCATATGGTCCAACCTAGTATCAATTGCTCACAACATTAAGTTCGCAGAGCTATCGGTAGGTACCACTTCTTATTGCTCTAAGGACTCACCTTCTAATAAGGGAGAAAGAGAAATAAAAAGTAAACTACAAAGAAGTGCAATAAGTGCTCTCCTAAAAGTCTGCTGTGTGTATCTGTGAGAGAGGGAAACAGACATACATACATACAGTGCATTAGGAATCACAAGATATACCAGTGATGAATTCTATGAGGAAAATTGGAGTGCAACCTAGAATATAAAATTAAATAAGACTCCTTTGCTCAGTGATCACTGTACTGAGATTTATACAGTAAGGCCAGGCACATTGGTCCACGCCTATAATCCCAGCGCTTTAGGAGGACAAGGTGGGAGGACTGCTTGAGCCCAAGAGTTCAAGATCAGCCTAGGCAACATGGCAAGATCCTGTCTCTACAAAAAAATTAAAAATTAAGCAGGCATGATGGTGCCCACCTGTAGTCCCAGCTACTTGGAAGGCTGAGGTGGGAGGATTGCTTGAGCCTGGGAGGTTAGAGCTGTAGTGAACTGAGAACATGTCACCGTACACTAGCCTGGGCAACTGAGCAAGATCCCGTCTCAAAAAAAAAAAAAAAAAAAAAAAAAAGAAAGCAAGGATAGTGATATTGGAGTAAGAATAAACACATAGATTCAATGGAATGGAACAGAAGATTCCATAAATACATCTACACACATATAGTCAACTGATTTCTGACAAAGGTACAAAGGCAGTTCAACACAGTAAAGTATTACCTTTCCAACAAATCATCCTGAAACAACTGGATAATTCATTTGGAAAATGAGGATAACTGATATTTGCTTATATAGTCATAAAATCTCTAGGTATAAACAAAATAATATTGGTTGGCTACAGTACAGGAAACCAGATGACTTGAGATTGATGTGAATAGAGATGGAAGAGACGATTTTTACATTATACAGTTTGTATTCCTTGTAAATCATGAACTACAATTGCCTGTTACAAGTGACACAGATGAATCAGATGCATACCAATGTACTAAATACTAAGAATTACAAAAAACAATGCTTTCCTCAATAAATTACTAAAATGTATGAAACAGATACATTTTACTCTGCCAGTCTGTTTTCTTCCAGCACAAAGGCTGTTAAACCAGTCAGAAACCATTAGGGGTGGAGCCTGGGAATTTAGAATTTTAAAGAAGTGATTCTAATTCAGAGCTAAGGTTTAGAACCAATGACAGGGCATGGTTATCACATGCAATGCACTGTACTGGCCAAGCTGAGTTAATAAAATATTCCCTTCCCTCAAAGGCAAAAGCAAATGACCAAGATATAATGATTGTACACAGAATATTAATTTGGTCACATGATACTACAGACGAAATAATTTAAGAAAAATAATTTTTGCCAAACCCCAATGAAAACATTAGGTAAAAGGTTGGTAGGAAATATGATGAATCAAGTTGACAACATTTGCACAGACTGGTATTATCACTAGGAATAGAGCAACTTGTTATGTGCCCACTTATACAGTAATGTACGTATGTTTATCTACATGTATGTATGTGTGTATATATGCATATATATCAACCTATAATAGACATGACATACAGAATAAAGTGACAGGTGGCTATATGCATATTGACAATTGCTTTATTACACCTGACAGTCTTAAAAACAAACAACAGTGGAATCTAAACAAATCTTTAAAGCTACTGATTCACCAAGAAAAGAGAGGAATATGTTAAACGACACTGTGAAGATACAATCAGCTAAACTAGAATGTGGGAAATCCTACAGAACAAATGACACAGGTTCTTCAATAAATACATTCATTTTTTAAAAGAGAAGGGGAACCTAGTATAGAAAGAGACTTAGGAAACTAATCATATGCAATGTTCAAATCCTGTTTAGATCTATTCTAACAAACTAACCTTCAAGACATCTGACACACACAC